GCATGTTGGGTTATCCGAGCTGGGCGCGGGCCTTCGCAGCTGCGGAGGCGCGGCGCGTCGAACGTCGAGGTTCGACGCGCTCAATCAGCTGGCGATGTTGGTCCCTGGGCTTTCTGCAGCTCAGCGGTCAGATTTTGAGTGGTGGAGGCGGGAATGGGACGCCGCTGGCATGGAGGACTTCGGTGGAAAGTGGGCGGAGATGTTTGCCGCGTGGTTGCAGAGCGTCATAGACGAGCACTTGGGAGGCAACCAGAGAGCTTCCAGCGTGTTTATGCGCAGTGAGACGCGACGCCGCCTGTCTGACCCCCTGGCGCTGGCGCCCCCTGCAGCCCAGGGCCTCTGAGAGGCGCGGCCCGCCGCAGCAGCGGCGAGGCGCGGGGTGCGAAGTTGGGCAGCCGGCGCCGCTCTTCCACTTGGCTGCGACTGAGGCGTCGCGCGCGCAGACGTAGCGCAGGCCCTATGCAGAAGAAACAGGGGGGAGGGAGGACGGGGGGGGAGGTGAGAGGAGAGGGAGGGCAGGCAGGGGGAGAAAACCACGCGGGTGTCGATCACTCCGCCCCTCCTCCTGCTCTCCCCCCTCCTTCTCCCTGGTCACCCTCCTGGTCATTATCTCATTCCTCCCTCCTCCGCGTCCGTCTCTCTCTCTCTCTCTCTTTCTCTCTCTCTCTCTCTCTCTCTCTCTCTCTCTCTCTTCTCTCTCCTCTTCAATACAAATAATATATATACATATATATATCGTTTTTCTTTTTTTTTGTTTTCCTCTCTCCTCTGTCTCTCTTCTCTATCTCTCTCTCTCTATCTCTTTCTCCTTTGCCGTCGTCGTCGTTCTCGTCGCGTCGTCGTTCGTCGTCGCCGTCGGTCGTCGGTCGTCGTACGTCGTCGTCGTCGTCGTCGTCGTCGTCGGCGTTCGTCGTCGTCGTCGTCGTCGTCGTCGTCGTCGTCGTCGGGGTCGTCGTCGTCGTCGTTCGTCGTCGTCGTCGTGTCGTAGTCGTCGGGTCGTCGTCGTTCGTCGGCGTCTCTCTCTCTCTCTCTCTCTCTCTCTCTCTAATACTCTCTCCTCTCTCTCTCTCTCTCTTTTCGCATTCCCGTCTCCCCCTCTCCCCCCCCCCTCTCTCCCTGCCCGCCCTTTCCTCCCTTATCCGCCCCGTCCTCCTCCTCTTCGCCCCGCCCCCCCCCTCCCACCGCCGTTTCGGCCCCGGGAGCCCGGCTCTCACGGCCGCCCCCCCGGCAACGCTGGCGCAGCGAGTGGCGGCCGCGGCCGGCAGCAGCAGCAGCGCGGGCCGACTGGGCCCCGCAGCAGCGGGGCCTCGGGACCGACTGTCGGCAGCGCATACAGCGCGGAGTGGAAAGGTTTGGCGAGCGAAGGGCACTCTGGCTTTGGAGCCAGAGGGCGCTCCCGCAGCAGCGGGGGCTGCGCCGTCTGGCGTTTCAAGCTTAGCAGCGGCGGCGGACTCGGACAATGAGCCGCGATCAAAAGTTTCTACGATGCGCACCCGCCCAGGCGACTCGGCGGCGGGCCCGACCGATGACGAAGAGCCTCAGGAAGAGCGGCGCGATCAGCCGGCATTTGGGGGCTGCGCGCCGCCCGACGACGCCCAGCGGCGCAGGTCGGTTCACCGCGACACCATCCCGCCCCAGCTTCTGCGAGCGTGGCCCAAGTGAACATGCAGCGGAACGACAAGGTGGGCAACCTTTCCGCCCTGTTCGGGAACTGGGGCCCCATGCCGAGCGAGACCAACAACGCGGACCAGCGGCGGAGAATTGAGTTGCAGCTGCGGCATTGCCCTGCTCTCCTGGCGTGCTTTGCGGAATGCGAGGCGCCGATGGAGGCAATCCCACAGCGGCCAGGAAAACCGCCGCCGCTGAAGGCGGACGCCCCCGCAGCAGCGGGAGCGTCAGCAGCGGAGGGCCGAAGCAGCAGCAGCGGTGGGCCTTTTGTCGCCCCCGCAGCGGCGACGGCGACAGCAAGAGGGAGTCGCGCTGCGAGTGTTGGCGATTGCCAACAGCTCCAGAATCGACCAGAGTACGAATACTTGACCCTGCGCGGGCGTGAGGACAAGTCCTTGTGCATCGCTGCGCGCGCAGGCCTGCGCCACGGGACGCGGCTGCCCCACTGGGAAAGGAGCGTCGACGGCCACTACAAAACTGAAGAAGAGGACAAGATGGAAGCGTTCTCGAGGATCATGGTGGTTAAGGTCTCCTTCGATCAAACCTACGCCCACTTCGGCTCGGAGGTGCGGGCGCGCGCGGTGCACCTCCACCGCGACACGGCGAAAGCTTCCAAAGGCTTTAAGGGGGCCCACAAGACGTGGCGGCCGAGGCCGGCGGCCATATGAATTCATACCATCCCAGCCAAGCCGGGTTCCCCCCCCTGCGGTTCCTTGTCAAATAACACTATGCGGGGACATTTTTCTTTCTAACATAACACTTTTTCGCGAATCCCTTGCAACAAATGGGGCGAAGTGCACGCGCGCGCGTCGTCGCGCGCGCATGCCGAAATCCTTCAAAAACCTTCGGTGCCGGAAGGATTTCGCAATCGAGCTTCCGAACAACATGCAAAAACACATGGTTTCGCAACACTGAATTGCTAAAAAAACTTTCGCGCGAGCTCTTGCAACATCTTAAGAAAACCATCGGTTTTTCAAGATTTTCACAAAATGCTACGAAACGGGCTTCGCGCGCGCATGTCGAAATCTGTCGAACAACCTTGCGCGTGTGCCGTCGCGAGAATCCTCTGCAACAAAATGGGACGAAGTGCAGACGCGCGCGTCGTCGCGGACGTATGCCGAAAACCTTCAAAACCCATCGGTTTCGGAAGGATTTCAAAATCGTGCGTCCAAAAAACCTACAAGAACCCCAGGTTTCGCAACACGGATTTTCAACAAAAGCGTGCGCGCGCGCTCTTGCGTCGTCGTCGTCGTCGTCGTCCTCCCTCCTCCCTCGTCGTCGTCGTCGTCGTCGCCGTCGTCGTCTTCTGTCTTTCCTCGTCGTCGTTGTCGTCGTCTTGGCGTCGTCGTCGTTTCCGTCGTCGTTGTCGCCGTGGTCGTCCTTCCTCCCTCGTTGTCTTAGTCGGCGTCTCGTCGTTGTCCCTCCTATTTCGTCGCCGTCGTCGTCGTCGTCGTCGTCGTCGTCGTCGTCGTCGTCGTGGTCTTCACTCCTCCCTCGTCGTTATCCTCCTCCCTCGTCGTCGTCGTCCGTCGTCGGCGTCTCGTCGTCGTCCCTCCTATTTCGTCGCCGGCGTCGTCGTCTTCGTCGTCGTTGTCATCGTCGTCGTCTTCCCTCCTCCCTCGTCGTTGTCGTCGTCGGCGTCGCCGTCCTTCCTCCTTCTTCGTCGTTGGCGTCGTCGCCGTCTTCCCTCCTCCATCGTCGTTGTCGTCGTTGTCGCCGTCGTCGTTTTTTCTCCTCCCTCGTCGTCGTCTCCGTTAGCGACGTCGTCGTCGTCTTCGTCGTCGTCGTCGGCGTCGTTGTCGTCGTCGTCGGTGTCGTCGTCGTCGTCGTTGTCGCCGTCGAAAAACATTGGAGACGTCGTCGGTGTCGTCGCAGTCGCTGTCGGCGGCGCCGTCGTCGTCGATGTCGCTGTCGTCGTCGGCGTCGGTGTCGTGGCCAAGTGCCATGTGGTACCTACCGTCACGGTCTTGTCTGAAGAGGTCTTGCGACCAAGTTGCGGGTGGGAGGGTGGGATGTTTGCACGAGCAGTGGAGAGGGCAGCTTCAAGACGGTCAAGATTAATCACCCCCTAGGCGGCGGCCGACCCCGCAGTGGCCATCTCCCAGGCCTGCGCCGCTGGAGCAGCGAGGGCAAGGGTTGCAAGAGCAGCAGCCGCAGGAGGCGCCGCGGCATCAGCCGCCAGAGCCCCCGCAGCAGCGGGGGCCACAGACGCCATGGCAGCGCCCAACAGACGGGGGGTGGCGCAGGGATGAGCGGCGCGGCAAATCGTGGGACTGGTGGCGCACCGGGGAGGGCGAGGGGCGCAAGTGGCAACAGCCGAGCGGCGCGGCTTCCTCGGTGCAGGACCGCAGGGTCGACTCCGCCTGGCGCGACATGCAAGTGGCATTCGGCAGCGACCCGCGCCCCAGTGGCTGGTGCAGCAGCCACAGTGGGTGGAGTGGCGGCCAGGGGCGCTGGGAGGCCACGACCACGACCACCTGGAGGTGGGCCGAACACCCCCCCGAGACCAATCCCTGGGAAGAACTTAGCTGAACCATCGCACATGTGCCGCCCCTCCGCAGCAGCGGGGGGAGGGCCTCATCAGTCGAAGGGCGCCCTCTCCGCAGCAGCGGAGGCCTTGCCAGTGCATCGCGGGCGGCGGCGAGTCGCGCGCGCCGCCGTGCTCGGCGACCGCTGCCAGAGCGGAGAAGGAAAAAGAAACGGTGTTTTCATCGTTGCCGTCGTTGCCTCTTCTCCTTCATCGTTTTCTCCCCCCCCTCCAATCCCCCATCCCGCCGTCGCATTTGATCGTCTCCAATCGTATTGGGAGCTCCCGCGGCAGAAGAGCACCCAGAACGAGCTCCTCCGTGACAGAGGGGGGCCATCTTAGGCCCCTCTGTGACAGAGGGGGGGCAAGAAAAACAAATGATCACTTAAATGCGGCTTTTGGATTGCGTCCTTTGTGGGCCCCCTGGCTGTGGGCAGAAGCCGGCGTGGGGCAAGGCCCTCTCCCTGCAGGACGACGCGCAGGAGTGGCCCTTCGCCGGAGGCACCTCCGGCGCGGGCCCAGCGGGGCCCCCTCCGATCGCCGAGCGCCTCGCCCCTGGGCGGCACGCGTGAGTGGTCTTAAATCGGGCCTGTCCCTCTCCAGGGAGAGAATTCAAAAATGCGCAAAAAATTGTCATCATACCTACCGGTGTGATCTCGCACTGCATTATTTCCGACCGTGCGCCCTGCCGGTGGTCTTGCTGGTGGTCGTGCTGGTGGTCCTCCTGGTGGTTGTGCTGGTGGTTGTGCTGGTGGTTGTGCTGGTGGTCGTGCTGGTGGTTGTGCTGGTGGTCGTGCTTGTGGAGGTGCTGGTGGCCGTGCTGGTGGTCGTGCTGGTGGTTGTGCTGGTCGTCGTGCTGGCGGATGTGCTGGTGGTCGTGCTGGTGGTTGGTAGTGGTTGTGCTGGTGGTTGTGCTGGTGGTCGTGCTGCTGGTTGTGCTGGTTGTCGTGCTGGTGGTTGGTTGCGCTGGCTGGTCGTGCTGGTGGTCGTGCTGGTGGCCCTGCTGGTGGTCCTGCTGGTGGTCCTGCTGGTGGTTGTGCTGGTGGTTGTGCTGGTGGTTGTGCTGGTGGCCCTCCCCTTATTCCGACCGTGCGCCCTCACCCCCCGCCCCCCCCCCCCCTCCGTGCCACCCCCCCCCCTGCCCTTCCCGGACCCCCCCTCCCCTTTAGTCCCTCCATTTCCGACCGCGGCGGCCCTCCCTCCTCCCCCCGGGCCCCCCGTCCCCTTTCTCCCTTCCTTTTTCTCCCCACGCCCTCCTCGACCCCCCTTCTCCCCTCTATTCCGACCGTTGCGCCCCTCCCCCCACTCTCCCCTGCGCCTCCCTTCCTCTTGCCCCGTTGCCCCCAATTTTCCCCGGACCCCCTCCCCTTATTCCGACCGTGCGCCCTCCCCCCGCTCCTCCCCTCTGGTGGTTGTGCTGTGCGTGCTTGTGGAGGTGCCCCCCGCCCGTGCTGGCGGATGTGCTCCCCAGAGTGGTTGTCCTGGTGGTTGTGACGGCGCCCTCCCCCCTGGTTCCCTGCGCCTCGTGCCTTGGTTGGTTGTGCTGGCCATCGTGCGGAGTGGTCGTCTCCCTGGCCCCGCTGGTGGTCCTGTGGTGGTCCTGCTGGTGGTTGTGCCCCTGGTTATTCCGACCGTTGTGCTGGTGGCCCTCCCCCCCGTCTCCTCCCTTGCGCCTCCCTCCTCTTGCCTCCGGTGCCCCCATTTTTCCTGGAGGCCCTCCCCCCCCTATTCAAAACAGTGCGCCTCCCCCCCGCTTTCTCCCCTCCGTGCAACCCCCCGCCCTCCCAGGACCCCCCCTCCCCTTAATTCCGACCGTGTGCGCCCTCCCTCCGCTCTCTTCGCCTCCTCCTCTTTTTTGCCCCCCGTGCACCCCATCCTCCTGGAGGACCTCCCCCCCTCATATTCCGACATATTCAGACCGTGCGCCCTCCCCCCCCGCTCCCTCCCCTCTGTGTTCCCCCCGCCCTCCCCGGACCCCCCCCCCCTATATTCCGACCGCGCGCCCTCCCCCACTCGTTTTTTTTTTTTTCCCTGCGCCTCCCTCCTCTGCCCCTCGTGCACCCGCTCCCCTTATTACGACTGTGCTCCCTCCCCCCGCCCCCCCCCCCACCCCCCCCCCCCCCCCCCCCCCCCCCCCTCCGTGTTCCCCGCCCTCCCCGGACCCCCCTCCTCCCCCCGCTCTCCCCCTGCGCCTCCCTCCTCTTGCCGCGTTGCCCCCAATACCTTCCCAGAGGCCCCCCCCCCTTATTCCGCCGTGCCCCTCTGGGCGCGCCTCCCCTCAGTGTTCCCCACGTCCCTCCCCGGGACCCCCCCTCATTATTCCGGGAACCGTGCGCCCCTCGCCCGTCCTTCCCTGGCTTTGTCATCCGCGCTTCGCTCTGCGTGTCGTGGTGGGGAAGGGTGGGCCCGACTCCGCCCTCCCCGGACCCCCCTCCCTTATTCCGACCGTGCGCCCTCCCCCCGCTCCTCCCTGGTGGGGAAGGGTGGGCCCGACTCCGGAGGTGGTCGCGAGCCTGCTGGCGCAGGTCGCCTAGACATTGCTGTATTTCAGGGCCCTTGGACATGGTCCAGGGCCTTGGACATGGTCCGTCGGCTCCTGCTCCATGGGTCGCATTTCCCCTTCGGGGGGGCGGGTCAGCAGCACGGGACATTCCAAGAAGACATGGCCCCAACATTCATCGGGCGCAAGGGCCTTCCCGCAAGCCTGACAGGGGCGCATGGGCATGCCGAGCTTCATGTCCCTGCGGATCGGCATGGGTATGTTGTCATAGCACCTGCAACGCTCCCAGCTGCCTTGCGGCACGGACACCTTTGACCGCATACCTGAGCCCACGGTGCCAGATAGGCGCGCCAGCGTTGGAGTACATGTGGCTGGTGAGGCGGTCATGCTGCCAGCGCTGCACGCCTTGCACCAAGAAAGGTCGCAGATCAGCAGGGCACACGCGGTGCAGGTCATACTTGTTGCCCAGGTGGTCCTGCAAAATGTGCGGCGCTTTCATGTCCCAGGCTAGCCGCTTAAGCGTCAGCCACGTCGCGGCCAGGGGACCTTTGGCATTGGCCCAATTGATTGGGACAGCCCGCTCATGGAGCACCGTCCAAGCCCTTCGAAGGCGGCCAGGTGACGTGCGCCCATCCCAAACCCAGGCGGCGTAGTTCAAGACCAGGTCCAGCGTGGCATGATAGAAGGGATCGTACTCCTCCGAAGGGTGTAAGGAGGAGGAGGAGGAGGAGGAGGAGGAGGAGGAGGAGGAGGATGAGGAGGAGGAAGAGGAGGGCGCCCGAGGGTCGCAGGCGAGGAGCGTGGCCCCTGGCGCTCTGCGGCACCCTCGTGGGTCCGCAGCTGCTGGCTCCTGGGCCACACGGGCGGGGTCCGAGAGACGGTCCGGCCTCCTCGCCTCCCCCACGCCTCCCCCTCACCTCCTCGCCTCCCCCACGCCTCCCCCTCGCCTCCTCGCGTCCCTTCCCATGCGTCCTCGCCTCCTCCTCGCCTCCCCTTCCCCCCTGATGTTTCATTACTCTTCCCCTCTAGCCCTCTCAGACGGGGTCCGAGCAGACGGGGTCGGAGGATCGCGCCGAATTGCCGATGCATCGGCGATGCGGCTCGATGTGGAGCCCGATTTTCTCCGTGCCGACGTCGCCGACGCATTGCTGACGTCGCCGATGCATCGGCGATCCTCCAACCCGATGTGCTCGGACCCCATGTAGGAGGCCTCTATGCCTGGAGGTCGTGCCAGTCGTGCTCCGCGTCTCCTTCGGACTGCCATGGCACGAGCTGGTCTGCTGCTGTTCAGTGGTGTGACCGTTATAACGGTGACGATGTCTTTTCCTTGGCCGACAGTGGCAAGGAGGAGGAGAGAGAAGTAGGGGGAGGAGGAGGAGGAGGAGGAGGAGGAGGAGGAGGAGGAATTGTTTGGCGTGGGGCGGAAGCTTTCGCGGGTCGGTCTCGGCCGATCCCAGCCGGTGGTGTTATCGTTGCCGTGCGTGCTGCACTCGTCGCTCCCCTTAGGTATGGCTCTCGCGTCGCTGGCAGTTCTCGCTGCAGTGCTCGGCGGCGCTGAGCGTGGTGCGCTTGGACGTGTGCCTCACGGGCGAGGAGGAGGAGGAAAAGGAGGAGGAGGAGGAGGAGGAAAAGGAGGAAAAGGAGGAGGAGGAGGAAAAGGAGGAGGAGGAGGAGGAGGAACGCAACATGCCTGACCTTCCTGCCCGCCCGACGTTAAAAAGAGGAAGCCCCCTTATTGGGCGTTCTTGGCACGGCCATGGTGGGAGCGCCGCGCTCAGCCTGTCGCCCGAGGCGGGGCCCCCCGTCCCCTGTGTAGGGGGCGGGAGGGGAGGCCGACACCCCCGAGTCGGGCAACGGGTCTTGCTGTCCTGAGCTTCTTCCTCTTCTCCGCCATCCCTCCTTCCCATTCCACCCTTTCCTTGCTCCTTCTGCTCACCCTCCTCATCGTTATCCTCATCTCATTTTCATCCTCCTCCTCCTCCTCCTCCTCCTCCACCTCTTCGTCCTCGTCATCATCTGTTTCATCCTCGTCTGCCCGCCACACACCTCTTCCGCGCCCTCGGGTTTCATCATCGTCCTTGTTATCCGCAAAGCCCTACTCATCGTCATCCTCCTTTCCCACTCCCCTTTGCCCTCATCGTCAGCATCATCATCATCATCGTTAAGGGGGACGGTGAGGCGGAAGTAGGGACGAGAAAACGAGGAACGAAGAAGAAGAATACGATATCGAGGAAGGCACTAATGCGAGAAGGAGGACGAGGAAGAGGACGGCGAGGCAGAGGAAAAATCAGGGGGTGGTGAAGATGAAGAGGATCAGGAAGGCGATAACGACGGTCCGCCTCGTCATCCCACGCATGATGTTCCTTCCTCTCCTCGTCCTCGTCCCACTCCTCCCTTACCCCCTCCCCTCTTCCTCATCATCCCTCCGCGCACTCTCCCATCCTAACGTTCTCCCGCCGAACCCCCTATCCCTCCCTCTCGCCTCTATGTCCTTTAACGATGTTTGGTCCGCTCTCATCCTTCTCTGCTACCTCCTCCTCCTCCTCTTCACCTTCCTCCTCCTCCTCCTCCTCCTCCTCCTCCTCCTCCTCCCCATCCTCCTCCTCCTCCGCCTCTTCCTCCTCATCCTCCTTCTCCTCCTCCTCCTCGTCCTCCTCACCATCATCATCATCATCATCATCATCATCAGCAGCAGCATCATCATCACCATCAGCATCATCACTAGCATTATCATTATCAGCATCATCAGCATCATCATCATCATCATCAGCAGCAGCAGCAGCATCCTCATCCTCATCATCATCATCATCATCATCATCATCATCATCATCATCAGCATCATCATCATCAGCATCATCATCATCATCAACAACAACATTAGCATCATCCTTATCGCCACCATCATCATCATCCTCTTCGTCCGTGTTCCCCAACCTCGTCTCCACTTCTACTGCTCCTCCTCCTCCTCCTCCTCCTCATCCTCCTCCACCTCCTCCTCCAGCGGTCCTTCTCCACCTCCTCAGTTTATTAGCCCTGTCCTCGTTTTTATACTTGTTGCTGCATGCGCCCACACTAGAGGAGAAGCTCGCTTACCTCTGGTTGAGGAATATGCGCAAGTTCGCGCCTGAGATACACGCTCGGGCGGTGCATCTGAATCAGCTGGATGGCTTCAGGATGGCCCCCGCCCCGTCTTCGCACTCGGGGAGAGGAGAGAGAATCTAGGACGCAATGTTGGAAGGGAGGGGACGTAGTGGAAATGGGATGGGGCAGGTTGAGGGAATGGATGGGGACGAACTCGGGGAGGTGGAGAGGGGGAGCAGGGCCTGTCTCCTCATCATCACTTATGTTGTTCCTCATCCTTGCCAACATCCTTGTCATCCTCATCCGACTTCTCATTCTCCCCCTCCCCACCCTCCTGCTGCATCAAGACGACGTCATAACTCCACGAGCCCGATCCGATCCGCCCCTGATACCCCTTCTCACCATGAGGGAGAAGAAGGGGAAGCGAGAGAAGGTGGCGTTGATCAAAGCAAGAGCATCCTGCCGAATCCAGGCGACTCCAGAACTCCACGAGTCCAAGCCGATCTGACCCTGAACCTCCCCACCCCCTTGAGGGAGGGGGAGGGGCGCTGATCTGTTCGGTGAAGGAGAATCGAAGAAATGGAGGATCTAGGAGGAGGAGGAGGAGGAGGAGGAGGAGGAGGAGGAGGAGACGAAGAAGGGTCGAAGGGGAGGGGGATCGAGGAAGAGAAGGAGGAGGATCGAGGAGGAGGAGGATGAGGACGAAGAGAAGGAGGGGGAGGATCGAGAGAGCGATCGTCAGGGCAAGTGCCCGCTGGCGACGGCCAAGCGCACCCGCGCAGCCGAGGAAAGGGAAGGACGAGCTGAGCCAGCCAGAAGGTGGATGGCGGAGGAGGAGGAGGAGGAGGAGGAGGAGGAGGAGGAGGAGGAGGAGGAGGAGGGAGGAGGAGGTGGAGGAGGAGGAGGAGAGGAGGAGGAGGAGGAGGAGGAGCAGGAGGAGGAGGAGGAGGAGGAGGAGGAGGAGGAGGAGGAGCAAGACGAGGGGGGGAGGAGGAGGAGGAGAAGGACGAGGAGCAGGACGAGGAGGACGCGGAGGAGGAGGAGGAGGAGGAGGAGGAGGAGGAGCATGGAGGAGGAGGAGGATGGAGGAGGAGGAGGAGGAGGAGCAAGGATCCCGAGGCCGCGCGGCAGGAGGAGTAAGGAGAGGGAGGGGGAGAGAGAGAGAGAGGGAAAGGGAGAAGGAGAGAGAGAGAGAGAGGGAGAAAGAAACAAAAGAGAGATGGATATATATATATATATAGAGAAAGAGAGAGAGAGAGAGAGAGAGAGAGAGAGAGAGAAACGAGGAGCAGAAGGGCGCGAGATCACTCAGCTTCCTTCTTCCACATCCAGCCGACCTCCCCCTCCCCCCACCCACCCACCACCAGAACCGCCACCTTTTCCTCTTCCATTCGCTCATGGAGCTCAGGGGGCATATGTTGGAAAGAGCACGTTCTGTGGACGCTTGGAATGGAGGGGGGGTCGGACCAGCGGGGAGGCCCCTCCGCCCTGAACTGCAAGGGGGAGGGAGGTTCGAACCGGGGGGGGGGGCGCTCGTTAAAGGGGGGGAGGGTTCAAACCTGGAGGGGGGGGGCCTTCGACGACGACGACGACGACGACGACGGCAGTTGGATCGAGCCCGAGTAAGGGTTTCGGATCGTGCCCAAGTAGGATTCAATTAGAGCTTGATCTAGCGGGTCGGGTAAGGGGATTCTTGAAGATCCGTAAGGGCTTCGCCCCCTGCCGCCGGCCCCCTCTCTCGGAGAATGGGCCATTGAAGAGCTAAGTCATGAGGCCTTGGCGCTGTCGTGAAGCAGTATCGAAACTTCATGCGAAGCCGATTCGCAATCAGCAAAACCAACTGATCACAAGAGGGGTTACCACACCTGGCGATTGGTAAGACGTGTATGGTTTACGGGCTTGGTTACCACACCTTGCGATTAAAGGGCCGAGGGAGTTCTCGCAGTTTGGGTTACCACGCCTTGCGATGGATGTGCGTGAAGGGTGGCACCGAATTTCAGAAATGTGGCAAATCCCATGTGTTTTTGGACCCTGACCCCGCGGATCTGCGTGAGGGGTGGCACCGAATTTCAGAAATGTGGCAAATCCCATGTGTTTTTGGACCCTGACCCCGCGGATCTGCGTGAGGGGTGGCACCGAATTTCAGAAATGTGGCAAATCCCTTGTGTTTTTGGACCCTGACCCCGCGGATCTGCGTGAGGGGTGGCACCGAATTTCAGAAATGTGGCAAATCCCATGTGTTTTTGGACCCTGACCCCGCGGATCTGCGTGAGGGGTGGCACCGAATTTCAGAAATGTGGCAAATCCCATGTGTTTTTGGACCCTGACCCCGCGGATCTGCGTGAGGGGTGGCACCGAATTTCAGAAATGTAGCAAATCCCCTGTGTTTTTGGACCCTGACCCCGCGGATCTGCGTGAGGGGTGGCACCGAATTTCAGAAATGTGGCAAATCCCATGTGTTTTTGGACCCTGACCCCGCGGATCTGCGTGAGGGGTGGCACCGAATTTCAGAAATGTGGCAAATCCCATGTGTTTTTGGACCCTGACCCCGCGGATCTGCGTGAGGGGTGTCGATTTCGAGCCCCCCCAGCAATTCAGACAACGCGCCCAGGGGGTGCTAAAAATCCCGTTTGGGCCTCCCCCCCCCTCGCGCGGTCAATCAACTAGTTACAGTAACCAGCAATCAGTCAACTAGTTACAGTAACCAGCAAGAAGCAGAACTGTAACACTGGAAACTACAAACTACAACTGGTACAGGAAACTGCGAATCACGCGCCTCGCAGCCTGGTGGCCCCACAAGGGGGCCGGCGGATTTGGATCGAGGCCGACTAGGATGCGGTGAAAGTTGCAACCAGCTATCGCAGGATTCTGTTAGAGCTGGATCGAGCCTCAGCAGGATTCAGTGAGAGCTGGACCCAGCTCTAGGGCCTAGGATGCTGCTAAAGTTGGACCCAGCTACAGTGTGATTCTGGGTAGAGCACGGTCGATCACCACTGGAGTTATATCAGGTGGAGGGTGGGGGAGGGGAGGGCGCCCTCGAGGGCGCGAAGTTATTCGTGCTTCGCGGTCCTCGTTCCGTCTCCCCCTCCTTCTCGTCCTCCTATTCTCCCTTTGGCGGGGCGGCGAGAAAGCGCGAAGTTATTCGCGCTTCGCGGAGCGCGAAGCGCGAAGTTGGGAGCCCTAGGGGAGGGGAGGGGCTGGTTCGACCCCCCCCGTGCACAGGGGGGGGAACCAGGTTCGAACCCACCCACCCACCCCCGTCTTGGACGGGGGAGGGGGCCAGTTAGGATTAAGTCGGGCCTGTCCCTCTACAGGGGGAATATTCAAGAATAGTCAGAAAATAGTTTGGGGACGATTTGTTGACCATTTCTGAATATTTTGGGGGCATTTTTTGTATTTTTTTTTAATTTTTCGTCCCAAATCCCCCTGCAGGGTGCCCGGCGTGCTAGATCCTTTCGGTTTTGGTTTTAGCTTTTTTTCCAAAAGAACTCCCCCTGGGGCTCCGGCGCGTCCCGCCGGGGTCCCGGGAAGGATCTCAAAACCTGGTTGCAAAGGTTTTCTTTGCTCCAGACGGCTCCAAGACGGCCCAAGATGGTCTCCAAGATGCATCCAAGACGGCCAAGATGGCCTCCAAGACGGCTAAGATGGCCCCAAGATGCCTCCAAGACGGCCCAAGATGCACCCAAGACGGCCTAAGATGGCCTCAAGATGGCCCACAACGGCCCCAGAGGCTCCCAAGAGGCCTCCAAGACGGCCCAAGAGGCCTCGAAGAGGTCCTCCAGGAAGGCCCGAAGAGGCAAAAATCATTGATTTTCTTTAGGTTTTTGACGTATTTTGACACGCCTTTTCGGCTTTCCGACGGCCCAAGACGGCCCAAAAGGCCCCCAATGTCGCCCTAAGATCGCCCAAGAGGCCTCCAAGATGGCCCCATGACGGCCTCAAGACGGCCCCAAGAGGGCCCCAAGACGGCCCAGAAGGCCTTCAAGACGCCCAAGATGGCCTCTAAGACGGCCCCGAAGCGCCCCAAGAGGGCCCCAAGAGGGCTCAGAGAGGCCCCCAAGACGGCTCCCGACAGCGTCAGACGTGCCAGGAACCCACAAAGATGGCCGAAGTTGGCTCGAAGCTGGACCAAGACGGCCCAAGAGGCCTCCAAGAGACTTCCAGGAAGGCCAGAAGGAACGCCAAAAACACTTACTGTCCTAAGGTTTTTGACGGATGTTTGACATTTGCTTCTTTTCGGCCTTCCGACGGCCCGAGACGGCCCAAGAGCCCCCGAAGATTGCCCAAAGATCGCCCAAGAGGCCTCCAAGATGGCCCCACGACGGCCCAAGAGGCCCCCAAGACGGCCCCAAGAGGCCCCCAAGACGGCCCAGGAGGCCTTTAAGACGCCCAAGATGGCCTTCCAAGACGGCCCCGAAGAGGGCCCCAAGTCGGCCCAGAGAGACACTCCAAACGGCTTCCAGCGGCGTCAGACGGGCCAGGAGCCCACCAAGACGGCCGAAGATGGTCTTAAGATGACCCGAGACGGCCCAAGAGGCCTCCAAGAGGGCCTCCAGGAAGGCCCGAAAGGGCCAAAATCATTGATTTCCCATGGGTATTTGAAGGATTGTGGCATTTGCTTGTTGTTCGGCCTTCCGACGGTCCCAAGACGGCCCAAGTGCCCCCAAAGATCGCCCAAGACGGCCCCAATAGGCCCCCAAGACGGCCCAAGAGGCTCCCAAAACGCTCAAGATGGCCTCCCAGACGGCCCAGGAGCCCTCCAAGACGTCCTCCAAGGAAGCCCGAAAGGTTCAAAATGGCCTCCAGACGGCCCAGATGACCTTCAAGATGCCCACGTGTTCCCCGAAGGCTTTCCAAACCGATTCGGGGAACACATGGTCCGATAGCTTGGCAGGTCTGGCCTCAACGTTTGGCCACATAGGCGCTTCCAAAAAGGCAGGGAGCGGCGGTGATTCGCCGTAGGCGTCTTCGATCCGCCGCCCCATTTTGATTTATCAAAGGGGTGCCTGGCGTGCCAAACTATATTGTTCTTGGTTTGGTTTATTTCCAAAAGAACTCCCCCTGGGGCTTCGGCCCGTCCCGCCGGGGTCCCGGGATCCCGAAAATCCGTCCTTCATTGCTTTTGTTGCCCCAAGTTGGCCCAAGATGGTCTCCAAGACGGCCACAATGGCCTCCAAGATGCCTCCAAGACAGCCAAGATGGTCTCAAAGACGTCTAAGGTGGCTCCAAGATGCACCCAAGACGGCCCAAGATGGCCTCAATATGGTCTACGACGGCCCAAGAGGCCCGCAAGAGGCCTCCAAGACGGCCCAAGAGCCCTCCCAGACGTCCTCCAGGAAGGCCCGAAAGGGCCAAAACCGTTGATTTGCCATAGGTTTTTGAAGGATTTGGGCAGTTGCGCTTTTTCGGCTGTCCGACGGCCCAAGACGGCCCAAGAGGCCCCCAAGATCGCCCAAGAGGTCCCCCAAAGGCCCCCATGACGGCCCAAATGGCCTCCAAGACAGCCCCAAGAGGGCCCCAAGACGGCCCAAGAGGCCTCCAACACGCCCAAGATGGCCTCCAAGACGCCCAAGATGGCCTCCAAGACAGCCCCGAAGCGCCCCAAGAGGGCACCAAGTCGGCTCAGAGAGGCCCCGAAGATGGCTCGCGACTCCCGACGGCGTCAGACGCCCAAAACGGCCCAAGAGGCCCCCAAGAGGGCCTCCAGGAAGGCCAGAAGAGGCCCAAAACATTGATTTGCCTAAGGATTTTGACGGATTTTGACATTTGCTTCTTTTCGGCCTTCCGACGGCCCGAGACGGCCCAGGAGCCCCCAAAGATCGCCAAAAGGTCGCCCAAGAGGCCTCCAAGATGGCCCCACGACGGCCCAAGACGGCCCCAAGAGGCCCCCAAAACGGCACAGGAGGCCTTTAAGACGCCCAAGATGGCCTCCAAGACGGCCCTGGAGAATTCCCAAAGTGCCCCAAGTCGGCCCAGAGAGGCTCCCCAAACGGCTTCCGACGGCGTCAGACGGACCAGGAGCCCACCAAGACGGCCGAACATGGCCCTAAGATGGCCCAAGACGGCCCAAGAGGCCTCCAAGAGGGCCTCCAGGAAGGGCCGAAAAGAACCAAATCATTGATTTCCCAAGGACTTTTGAAGGATTGTGGCATTTGTTTTGTCCCTGTATTCCGACGGCCCGAGACGGCCCAAGTGCCCCCAAAGATCGCCCAACAAGCCCAAGACACAGCCCCGAGATGCCCCCAAGACGGCTTCCAAGACGCTCAAGATGGCCTCCAAGACGGCCCAAGAGCCCTCCAAGACGTCCTCAAAGAAGGCCCGAAAGGTTCAAAATGGCCTCCAGACGGCCAAGATGACCTTCAAGATGCCCACGTGTTCCCGAAGGCTTTCCAAACCGATTCGGGGAACACATGGTCCGATAGCTTGGCAGGTCTGGCCTCAACGTTCGGCCACATAGGCGCTTCCAAAAAGGCAGGGGGCGGCGGTGATTCGCCGTAGGCGTCTTCGATCCGCCGCCCCCTTTTGATTTATCAAAGGGGGGCCTGGCGTGCCAAACTATATGGTTCTTGGTTTGGGTTTTTTCCAAAAGAACTCCCCCTGGGGCTTCGGCCCGTCCCGCCGGCCACCCGGAAAGGATCTCAAAACGCATCCGTGTTGCCTCTGTCTCCTCCAGTTGGCCCAAGATGGCGTCCAAGACGGCCAAGATGGCCCAGGATGGTCTCCAAGACGTCTACGACGGCCCAAGATGGCCTCCAAGACGGCTAAGATGGCCCCAAGATGCCTCCAAGACGGCCCAAGATGGCCTCAAGATGGTCTACGGCGGCCCAAGAGGCCCGCAAGAGGCCTCCAAGACGGCCCAAGAGCCCTCCAAGACGTCCTCCAGGAAGGCCCGAAAGGGCCCAAATCATTGATTTTCTATAGGTTTTGAAGGATTTGGGCGTTTGCGCCTTTTCGGCTTTCCGACGGCCCAAGACGGCCCAAGAGGCCCTCAAGATCGCCCAAGAGGCCCCCCAAAGGCCCCCATGACGGCCCAAGTGGCCTCCAAGACAGCCCCAAGAGGCCCCCAAGATGGCCCAAGAGGCCTCCAACACGGCCCAAGAGGCTTCCAAGAGGTCCTCCGGCAACATCGCAGAGCGGATTTCGTTCGGATGACAATGGCATGAGCCCAGATTGTCCTTGAGAATTTCGTTCCGGATTTCGAAGTGAATGCCGCGTTTTTTCTCATTGGCCATGAATAAAGACTACAAACAATCCACGTGGAAATCATTTCGTTTTTCGCTCGCCGTTTCGGGGTTTTGCGGGGAGGAGAGGGACAAGGAAACATGAACAGGAGGGCGAGTCGGGGGATGAGCCGCAGCAGTACGACAATAGCAGAGTCATCAATGGCCAGATCAGGCAAAGTACCAGCAGTAGGAGGAACATAAGTCATCTGGCGGCGGAGGAGTGAGGAGGAGTGAGGAGGAGGAGAAGGAGGAGGAGGAGGAGGAGAAGGAGGAGGAGGAGGCGAAGGAGGAGGAGGAGGAGAGGAGAGGGAGGAGGGGAGGGAGGAGAAAGATGAGGAGCAGGAGGAGCAGGAGAAGGATAATGAGGTAGAGGAGGGGGAGGAGGGTGGGAGGTAGAGGAGGGGGAGGAGGGTCGAGGCAGGAGGGAAGAGGTAGGAGGGACGCGAGAGGAGGGAGGAGGGAGGGGGAGGGAGGAGGAGGAGGAGGAGGAGGAGGAGGAGGAGGAGGAGGAGGAGGAGGAGGTGGGAGAAGCTCCTGGGGGGTGCTTCCGTACCGTGCAATTCACCAGCGGGCGTTGTACATACTGGTTTTGTGGGGGTTGTGTCGTGAGAAGTTTGGGCGCATGCATGCCGCCTGCGGCCTGCCATTCAGCTGCCATTCGTGGACTGATGTGCGCTGGGGGCTCTAGCATGATTACGACCATGGTTTCGAGGGCGGCATGGGGAGCAAATCCTCACTTCGCGTGTAGTACGCTCCCGAGCATTGGCACCGAAGATGTAGAACGGGCGCGCGTTCGATGGAAAAAAGGTGGGAGAAGAGATGCAATTGGAGGGGGCAGGAGGAGGAAGAGGAGGCAGGAGGGGAGGAGGCAGGAGGGGAGGAGGAGGAGCAGGGGAGGAGGAAGGAGAGAGGAGGAGAAGGAGGAGGAGGAGGAGGAGGAGGAGGATGGAGGAGGAGAGGAGGATAAATAGTTCAGCTGGCCCGAAGGATGCGCCACGAGCGCAGGCGGGGCGAGAGGCTCGCGGGCGCCACCTCCTCCAGCAGCGACAGCACCGACTCCTCCAGTGATCCCCGGCCTCACCAGGGGGGTCGCCTCTCCTTCCTCCTCCTCCTCCTCCTCCACCTCCTCTTGCTAGCCATCCTCCCTTCCCCATCTGCTCCTCCCGATTGTCGTGACCATTGCGCTGCTCGTCCTGCTTCTCCTCACCCTCTGGCCTATTACATCCTCCTTTTATCCTATCCTCTTCCTCCTCCTCCTCCTCCGCCTCCTCCTCAGCCTCCTCCTCAGCATCATCATCATCATCAGCATCATAATCGTCATCTTCGTCATCATCGTCATCATCATCATCATCGTCATCATCGTCATCATCGTCATCATCGTCAGCATCTTCGTCGTCATCATCATCACCAGCAGCAGTATCAGCATCAGCATCATCATCATCGTCAGCAACATCATCATCACCATCAGCAGTATCAGCATCATAATCATCATCCGGTCTCCTCCCGCACCCCGCCCTTAATTGGTCAGCCTCATTCTTCATGTTATGGTGATCATCACCATCATTAGCATCCTCATCATCCTCATCAGAATCATCATCACCGTCGTCATCATCAGCAACATCGTCATCATGGTTATCAGTAGCACCACCACTATCAAGGCGGCCAAGACGCTGGTGATCAAGAAGCCGAGCACGGCTGCTGTTGCGGCGAGCGGAGCTTCAAGGGCTTCAAGGATTGCTTCCTCGAGCTGAAGCTCGTCGTGGGCCTGATTGCCGCCGTTTGCGGCGTCGGGAGTGCTGGCCGAGCTTCGGGCTCGGGTTGCGCCGCACCGCTGCCACGAAATCAGCATCACCCTCATCACCATCCTTATCAGCATCATCCTCAGCACAATGCTATTATCATCAGCAGTAGCAGCGTCATCAGCATCCTCATCGTCGCCATCAACATCAGCATGAGCATCAGAATCATCAGCACAATCACCGTCATCCTCATCACCATCAGCAGCAGCCCGTCATCGTAATCACCATCAACAGCATCACTAGCATCCCCATTTGCATCACCGCCGTTGGCATTACCATCAGCATCATCGCCATCATCATCGCCATCATCATCATCATCATCATCATCATCATCATCATCATCATCACCGCCATCACCACCACCATCATCATCATCACCATCACCATCGCCATCGCCATCGCCATCATCATCAACAACATCATTATCATCGTCATCGTCGACGGCATCAGCATCATCATCACCATCGTCGTCGTGCTGCTTCTGCTGATCCAAATCTCAACGCTTCGCATAATCCCACCAGCCCATCCAGAAAAGACGCCCAGGCGAGTTGCCCTGACCAGTCATGTGGAGGAGCACGCAGTGGAATACTGGCTGGGAAGCCGTCATACCTCAAGAGGGGAGGATGGAGGAGGAACCAGAGGAGGAGGCGGAGGAGGAGGAGGAGGAGCGGGAGGGGGAGAAGGGAGGAGGAAGAAGAAGGGAGGAGCGAGGAGGAAGATCAGTCGGATGAGGAAGAGGAAAAGGAGGAGGACGAAAAGAAAGGCCAGAAGCTTCTTCGATGCCTCCCGGAGTCTCTTCGGATGTCTCTTGAGAGTTTCTTGTGGGCCTGCTGGGGCGTCTTGAGGGCCTGCTGGCAGTCCTGGGGGCCTCTTAAAGCATCTTCGGTGCCTCAGGGGAGCCTCTTCGGGCCTCTTGGGGGTCTGTTGGGAGCCTCCTGGGGGCATATTGGGTGCATCTTGGGAGCCTCTTGGGGCCTCCTGGGCGCCTCGTGGAGCCCTTTTCGGGCACTCTTGGAAGCCTCGTGGGTCATATTGGGGCAATATTGGAGGTGATCGATCAAAGATGGAAGGGGACTGAATTAAGGTTCCCCCCTGACGGAGGCAAAAATTTGACCAAAACCGGCGTACAATGAATGATTGTGGCCTTCTCACATTAAATCATCTTGGACGCTCTAACGCGCCGCGAACCCCCCCCGTCCACAGGTAGAGGGTAGGGGGCGGGGGAACCCCTTCTCCGAAGGGGAAGAAATAAGGGGGGTTGGAAGAGGAAACTCTCTCAACTACTCACGACTTCAAGGGCTGGTGAGATTCCTCGTCATCCTCTCCCCCCCCCCCTCCTCTTCCGCGTTCTATTTCTGCTCATGCTCACGCTCCACACCCTCCTTGTCTTCCTCCTCCTCCTCCTCCTCCTCTTTCTCCTCCTCCTCGGGTCTGACCGGCTCCTGTGACCTAGGCGGCGCATTGCTCTCGTAGGCTCACTACCGACCTGCATTCCCCCATCCATCTCGGCGCAAAGCAGGCCACATGGAACAAGCACAGCGCCGCTGGCGAGGGTGCCCATACCGGACGCTGGACTCTGCCTGCGGCAACCCTGGCCCTGCGCCCGTGCCCGCCGCGGTGTCTTGCCGCCCTTGGCGGCCCCTCGCTGGCGCTCCCGTCCGCGACCACCCGAGGCATTGTGACGCTGGTGTTAAGTCGGGCCTGTCCCTTTACAGGAGGAATTCGAAGATAGCCAAAAAATACTCTGGGGATTTTTTGGGAGTTTTTTCGACCATGTTGGACTATTGTTTGGTATGTTTAATTTTTCGTCGAAAATCCCCCTGTAGGGGGACAGGCCCGACTTAAAGCTGGTGCGGAGCACCAATCTGGAGGCCTTCCTCCCGCGCATTGCGTGCTGGACGCGCTCGAAGCATTGGGCGCTCGCCCGTTCAGGAGAAGGTGCGGGCGGCCTCGGCGCTCCAGCGCATCCGCCCGCACCATCGCCTGGTCCGTGCTCCGCGTTGTGCTGAAGCAGCGAGCACCAGAGCGTCGTCTCTACCCGCCAACTGCCTGGCAGCAGAGTGATGGGGCACCCTGCATCGGCGCGGCCACGCCCGAGGCCCCCATCCTTTTCCGTGATCAGACTCCACATTGAGACCTGGCCACACCTCGGCCGTGCGCCGCCCGCCGCAGCATCAGAAGCGGCAGCGCCATCCACGCGGCGCTGGCCGGGCCCCTGGCCGCACCGAGGGCACCGCGGGTGGCCGTCCGGCCGCCGCCTCGACGGCGCGGCAGCTCCTGGCGAGGAGTGCCGCGCGCAGGGGGCGGCAGCTGACCCCCCCGCCTGGGCCCCTGGCCGCAGCCGCATCCCACCGTCGAGCGCCCTTCCGCCGCTCCACGCCGCCACCGAGCCGCTCCCACGGCCTCGGCGGCGCGCGGACGGCGCGCGAGCTCCCGGTGGGCACCGCGACCTCCGCACACCGGCGCTCGGCCCCACGCTGCTGGCGTCGAGCAGCTCTGCGCCCGTGCCGGCAGGAGCATCCACCAATCTCGGCCCCGGGGCTGTCCTGGCAAGGGCCTGCGTTGGTGTCAGCGGGCGCCCCCACGCGCGGGTTGCACCAAGTGACCCGAGGTGCCGCCGGGCGCGCTCGGGCCCGCCCCCTGGGCCGGCGCAGCACCCTTGGCGCCAGCCTGGCGCCGAGGAAGGGCAGCCCCGTGCTGGGCCAGCCAGGCGGCGGCAGAATGCGGCAGCCGCGGCAGTCGACTAGACGTAAGAGTGACTTTTCGCCGGAGTGACCTTCGGTGCGGGCACAGATAGGCCCCCAGATGGCTGGAAGCGAAAAGGTGAGGTAGCAGCTGCTTGCGCGCGTGTGTTTGGCCCCCCACGCGGCCCCAGAAAAGCCGCGCACCAAAGGCCGCTCTTACCCAGGGTCGCTCGCTCGTGCAGCCGAGACAGGCGGCGGCGCAGGGCCGGTGGACGGAAAGAGCAGCGAGGACTTCGACGAGGTTGTGGCTCTCTTGTTCGAGCTCCTTGCTGGCCAGAGGTTGCTCTCCGTCGTGTCAGCGGGATCTGCTCATGATCGCAGAGGGTGTCGCAGAATGCGGCGGGCCCGTCAGGAGCGCGAAATCTCGCTCAAGATCGCTCCTCTTCCTCCTCCTCCTCCTCCTCCTCCTCCTCCTCCTCCATTCCTTTTCCTTGTAAATAATTTTTCTCTGTCGCATCCCGAGGCCAGTTTGTTGGGGCGGGCTGGCCGTTTCGCCTGAGACTTATTCACCACGTATGACCCTGAAGCTTAGAATGTAGCAACAGTTTCACAGATGGAGGGCGGGCGGTTTTCAAAATGTGGTTCTCGCCTTAGCGCCGCGCGCATTCGTTTTGAACGTTTGCAAAAGTTTCACGGATTGAAGGCGGGTCGTTTTCAAAATGTGGTTGTCACCCTAGCGCCGCACACACACACACACACACACACACACACACACACACACACACACACACACACACACGCACGCACGCACGCACGCACGCACGCACGCACGCACGCACATACACACACAGTTGTTTTAGAGATTTGCAAGAGCTTCACGGAATGAGGGCAGGGGGGTTCAATGTGTGGTTCTCGCTTTAGCGCCGCGAACATTCGTTTTCAACATGTGCAAGAGCTTCACGGATTGAGGGTGGGTGGTTTTCAAAGTGTGGTCGCTTTAGCGCCGCGCACATTCTTTTTCAAAATTTGCAGGAGTTTCACGCATTCGGGGCGGGTCGTTTTCAAAATGTGGTTTTCGCTTCAGCGCCTCGCACACTCGTATTCGAAATTGGCAAGAGCTTCACACATTGAGGGCGGGTCGTTTTCAAAATGCGGTTCTCGCTTCAGCGCCGCGTACATTCGTTTAAAACTTTTGCAAGATCTTCACAGATTGAGGGCAGCTCCTTTTAAACATGTGGTTCCCGCCTAAGCGCCGCGCACATTCATTGATTAAAGTAGCAAGAGTTTCAAGTATTCCCATAATCCAACTACACATCAAAAATCGCGTTTTGGAAGGATTCCGGATTTTGCGGGTGCAATTGTTACGTTGATTCGCGGTGTTGTCCCAAGAACATCGTTTTGGCGCGATTCAGGATCGTCAAAACGCAACAGTCAGGTTGATCCGTGGCGTTGGATTCCCGAGAACAACGTTTTGGCATGCTTCAGGGTCGTGGAACGGTAGGGCCTGTGAAGAGGGAGTTTGGAGGGCGGGTTTACTTCAACATCGTTGATGACTCTTGGGTTTACACTGGTCTTCCTCCTCCTCCTCCTCCTCCTCCTCCTCCTCCTGCTCCTCATCCTGCTCCCGCTCCTCCTCCTCCTCCTCCTCCTCCTCCTCCTCCTCCTCCTCCTCCTCCTCCTCCTCCTCCCGGGCCGCTGGCCTGCGCAGCCTGCCGCGACCCGCAGGTGACGACGCGAGGGACGTCAGGTTCATCGGCCTCTCGGACCCGGAGGGGCATGGGAGTGCCCAGCGAAGAGGCGGGGGAAAGGGAAAGCATGTTGGAGGCTATCTTGGGCTATCGGGCTGTAGGGCTATTGGGGACCATCTCGGTCTACCAGGGGCCCTATTTGGGCATTATTGAACACTCTGACCGCTCGCGCAACCCTACGTCCAGGCCCAGGGGGGGAGTAGGAGAAGAGGTAAGCCCTTCCCCAGAGGGGAAGCAAGGGGGTCGAGTGAACGAACTCCCTGAACCAGGGGAGGGGGAGGAAGGGGGAAGGGGGAAGGCTCGATGGGGGCTCCGGAGAACTCCAGAGCCCGCGCCCGAGGCCAGGCCCCCCATGAGTCCTTCCACTCCAGTCGAGAGCTATGGGAGCCCGTGAGCCGGCCAGCAGACCCAGACAGGGGCCTCGCCTACGGCGCGCCCTCGCCCTCGGCGGAAGGCCAGCGGAAGGCCAGCGAGGGCCCCAGCGGACCTGCAGTGTCGGCAGGCCTGCCGGCGGAAGCTCGGCGGCAGGCGGCGGAAGCAGGAGCAAGGCGTCCACGGTTGCAGGCTCGGGGCCCCCGGAGTCGGCCAGCCGCCGGCGAGCGTGCCGAGGGGGCCTCGGGCGGGGGCGCTCCCGGAGCGGTGTGGGCCCCAGGGGCGGCCGGCTCACTGCAGCGGCGGCGGCGCCGCCGCCGGCAGCGAGGCCGCGTCCCTGGCGAGGCCTCCGCGAGCGGCGTCGCCCCCCGGTGTCAAGCAGTGGCGAAGCGTCCTGGCTCGCCTATAGCCCTACCAAACACTGTTCTAAGAACCTTTTGTGGTTCCCACGAAAGGTTCTCAGAACATTTCTGGCGGAGTCTGTTTTGTTTTTTAGCACGTCGGGTTTATGTTCTAAGAACATCGCCTTTGTTCTTAGAACATTTCTGGGTTCTAAGAACACTTCGTGGTAGGACTATGGGAATGCCGGGACGGTCGGTCCCTGCTCAACGGTGGGCGGCGCGGTGGCGGACAGCACGTTGCGGCAGCGCCGCCGTCGCCGCCAGCAAGGCGCAGAGAGCCTTCGCGTGCGCTGCGCGCGGCCTCCGACAAGGCAGCAGCCTGCGCCCCTCGGGCGCCTCGGGAGGCGCAGGGCGGCGCACGGCACCCAGTGCCTAGTGGGCATGCCGAGACGCGGAGGCGGCGCTGCGGCTGCTCACCGAGCGCGGTCCACAACTCCATCTCCCTCCTCCTCTTCCTCCTCCTCCTCCTCCTCCTCCTCCTCCTCCTCCTCCGCTGGCTCCAGCCGGCTCCAGCCGCCTGGACTAGCCAGCGGGGGCCCATCCTGGCACACAGCAGTCGGGCAGGCGCGGGGGGGCTGAGAGGGGACAACGGGGAGCGTAGAGTGCAGGGGGTCGTCGTCGTCATCGTCGTCGTCGTCGTCGTCGTCGTCGTCGTTGTCTCCCGCGCGGCGGGCGCCGCGAGACGCGCGGGCACGAGCTGGACGGCGCCCTGGCGGCGGCGCCGCCCGCGGCGTCGCCGGCGCTGGCGGGAGCGGCGCGCAGAGGCGGTCGCCCTGGTGCTGAGGGGAGGGGAGGGGCCTCCTCCTCCTCCTACTCCTCCTCCTCCTACTCCTCCTCCTCTTCCTCCTCCTGGAACTGTGAGGGCAGAGCATTGATCGCACGAACCCCGCGGCCGTTTCCAACCTCAAAGGTTTTCTGCTGCGCCTGAGGGGTGCACTGGCCTTCCCCGCAGTCGACCCGCATGCTGTGGGCCAATATTGGGAGCCTCGCGGCGATCAACCTGGCTGTCACCAGCGGGCTCACCGCGTTCTCGGCGTGGGTGATCCGCGGGGTTTTCTCGAACGCCGCCCAGTCGGCTCGCGCCGCGGGGCGGGCCGAGGTCATCTGTCCCGAGATCCCCCCCCCCACGTGCCACTGCCACTGCGTGTGCGAGTCGACGCCGTGCGGGGGCACCACGGACTTCGAGCTGCTGGCGGGGGCCTTCATATCGCTGCTCTTCGGCATCGTGCAGGTGTTGCTGACGTGCACCAATGGCGTTTGTCGGCGTTGGGGCTCCAGGGCCGCCAGCTCCAGCTCCGCTTCCTCGGGGGGCGGACGGGTGGCCCTTGCCGACGGGTGCCCGAGCGACAGCGTTACGGAGAACGTTCGTGAAGTCCGTTGGCGCGGATGAGGAGTTGTTACACGAGCGACTCTTCCTGAGTGACATGGTGAATGGTGTTGTAACGGCAGCCTTGCCGGATTACGACGTCTACGATGAGGACTACAGCGACTCGGGCACGTTCGAGCTGGTGCGTTTCCTCGGTGACAGCGGGGAGCTGCCGATCGGGGTGGGGGCGACCAACCTGTACAGGTTCGCGGCGGCGCCATCGGACGCGGAGGTGCAGCAGCTGCTCGCGGAGGCGCAGGCGGTGGTCGCGCTTCGCCCCGCGGCGCCAGCGGCGGCGGCAGGGACCGCAGGCGGCGCGCTGGGCGGCGCTGTAGCGTCGGTGGGCGGAGGCGCGGTGCCCGCTTCCTGGGATGCCAGCGCCTCGGCCCGTCCTAGTTCGGCAGCTGGCAAACTACCAAGGAAAGATCGACGCGTTCTGCGAGGAGCGGATCAAGTGGAACCAGAGCGCGGTGGCTTCGCATGGCAGCGACCAGGCCGTTGGCGACGATGTGCGTACGTTGTCGGTGGTCTATGGGCCTGGCGGTCAGCGACGGCGGGAGTTCAGGAAGTCGGTGCAGGAGATGACGATGGCCGATTTCGACGATTTCCCCCTCGCTGGTCCTCGCCCTTGCGAGTGGCACTGCAGGGAGACCATCAAGATGGCCGAGGGCCCGCGGGCTCAGCACTCCAAGTGGCTGATGGAGGCTCGGATCCCCGACGGTGACAGGTCGACCCACGAGGACTCGAACTTGGCGCTGATCCAGGAGCTCGCGGTGACCTACGACGGGCTCAACATTATGAACCTGGCGTGCATGGAGGTTGCGGTGCGCAGGCGGCAGCTGATCGCGGAGGCGCACCACGCCAACCCGTCGTCGCCGAACTACGAGGGCGCGGCCCATTCCATGGCCGACGGGCTGCGCGCTGGAGGAGCGCCGGCGGCCCCGGCGCTGGCAGCCCGCGTCTCGGAGAGGCTCCGCGCCGAGGCGGCGATCGCGATGAAAAAGCGCAAGGCGGCCGAGAACCGCGCGCTCCGCGGCAAGCCTAAGGGAGATGGCAGCAGCCGGGGCGGCGGCGGGGCCGCCGGGGATGGCTAGTGTCAAGCGATGGGAGGTCGAAGCGGCTTGACGGCCTCCCGCGCACAGCCAGAGCCCCGGCGCAGTGGAACCCCGCTCAGGTGAGCTCAGCCTGGGCGGGGGTGTCTCAGAGCATGCTGGAGGCCTCAGCGCCGCCGGCGTTTTTGGAGGCAGGCGCCGCCGCCCGACAGCGGGACATCTTCCCGCTGCCCAGGCTCGCTCTCGGAGTCCTGGATCGCGAGGTGCGGCCCAGTCGTTCGACGACGCGACGACTCCATCGTCGTTTCGCCATCGCCAAGAGGGTGAACAGGTCCGTCGACGCCCTGAACTCCATGTAATTCGGCGCCAGGACTTGGCGCGCCACTCCAGGTGCCTCTGAGATTGTGAGCCTGCCGCAGTGCCGGCGCGCTGTCTTGGGTTTCTTGGTCTCTCGTGTCCGCGAGCTTGGGCGCCCGCCCCCTGGCCTCGCTCGCTCAGGAGCCCTTCAGGAGCTCCGAGTTTCTAAGCACTCTTACGCGGGGGGTCTTGGGCAGGGTGCCAGGGCCCCCATGGTTTTGCATGATTTGTCGCTCCCTGGCATGGAGCGATCTCCTGCAGATATGGTCTCGGTCTTGGCGGGTGCCCCAGGCGATTGCCTCCGCGATTTCGAGGAACGAATGCTTGTCGACGCCGCTGCCCGGAGCGCGCTGGCAGAGCAGGCGGGAAAGATGCCGCCCTACAGTGACCCTCTTTTGAAGAAGCAAGACGGCTTCGGAGCTTTCGCCTCGACGTTAGCCCCCAGGGGTCTCGTCAGGTTCACGCGTCGCCCTGCCGCTAGGATAGGTGCTTTCTCCGTGCTGAAAAAGTCTGGGGAGCAGCGTCTGGTCCTGGACTGTAGACAGTGCCGTCTTAGATTTGCCCCCGCGCCTCACACTGAGCTCGGGGGCTTCAATGCCCTTAGTGATCTCGGACCCCCCGTCGATCAGGCCCTGCGTTGGGCTGAAGCGGATATCCAGTACTGTTTCTACGAGTGTGGGATCCCAGACGGCCTCTCGGACCTCTGCGAGATGGACCTGTCTGTGAATGATTTGATAGCATCCGGGGTGCCAGAGGAGATGTTCAAACATTTCCACGGGGACGGAGTGGTTTCGATGTGTTTGACGGTGTTACCCATGGGCTTTACCTGGTCTTTCTGGCTCGTCCAGGAGTATCACGTTCAGGTCGATTTGCGAGATGTTTCGGAGCGATCGATCCTGGTCGACGGCCATCCTGCACCCGGCATCGGCGTGGGGGACACGGTGCACATGGGATACTGCGACAACCTCAACGCTGGGTCTTTTTCGAGCGAGCTGGCGGGAAGCCTGCGTGATAAGGTTCAGGGTCAGATGAAGGAGATGGTATCAGCATGCACGACGTCACGGGACCCGATCTCGCTGCCCGCGTGCTGGGTTCGATCTTGGACGGATCACGCGGGGCGCTGCGCCCCGACCCAGAGATGCCTTGGAAGCTGATCGTTGTTTTCGACTGGTTTAGCGAGGGGCCCGTGGTCTCAGGGAAGGTGGTGGAGAGGTTGATGGGTCATTTTAAATACATCGCCATGCTCAACAGGAGTGCGCTGTCAGTCTTGCGCCATCTGCATGACTTTGTCGCGCAGAGCGAAGAGCCCGAGCGTCTCTGGCCGACCTGCTGGAAAGAATGTCGTCCGGTCGCTGGCGCGCCCCCTCTTTGTGTGTCTGATCTTCGCCAACGGTGGAATCCGACCTTGACTTGCACTGATGCGTCTCCAACAGGATGTGGAGTTTGTCAACGAGAGCCAGGAGAGGCTGAGATTCGTGGTCTTGGGAGGTGGAACGAGAGGTGGAGGTTCAAGAGGCTGTCCCCTGATCAGTGGGCCCCGCGTTCTCATGCTTTGGGTCTCAACCCCCTGGAGGACATCGCTAGCGCTGGCCATGTTGGGGCTCCTGGGGTCTCGCAAGAAGGGCCCTGGGAGGACGCTGGTGACTGGGATTCTTTTAGGCACGAGGGGGGGCCCGACTTTTCCGAGGCACCCGCTGGGTTCTTGAAGGGTGAGGACTGGGACGTGGTTCTCTTTAGCGGTTGGCGTTTTCATGAGGAGCATATCACGCTGAAGGGAGGGAGGACCGTCGTTCTGGCATTGAGGAGATCGTTTCGTGCTGATCGAAATTTTGGGAAGCGTCACGTTCTGTTGGTGGATAACATGGGCCTCTGTTTTGCCTTGTCAAAGGGGCGCGCTTGCTCGTGCGATTTGCTCAGAGTATGCCAGCAGGCGGGGGCTGTGTTGTTGGCTACCAACAGCCGGCTCTGTCCGCGATGGGTTCCCAGCGAGCTCAACGTCGCTGATGAGCCTTCCAGGCGGCCGCTCTGGCAGGACCGCCAGCGCAGGGCCGACCCTGCTTCCGCTCGGGGGCGAGACGAGGCAGCTGAGCCTGGGCGCGAGGCGCGGAACAGGCGTGACATCGTCCTCGGGCTTGGCGCGGACTTCATCGCGGAGCCTCCGGGGCTCGAGCGCCGGCGCGCTGGCGGCGGCGGCCGCGGCGGGTCTTTGGGGGGCGCGTTGCCTGACAGCGGCAGCCTCGCAACCCCCGGACCTGCGGGGGGGCCCGCCGCTGAGGGCGCGGCAGGCGCTGGAGCGGACGGCGCAGAATCGGCAGGCCGCCGAGGCTGCCGACCCGCGCTGGGCGCTGCTGGCCTGGAGGGGAAAGAAGTCGCGCCTCGAGGAGAGAAGCATTTCAAAGAAGGTGACCGAGGACTACGAGTTCTAACCTGGCGGGGTTCAGGGACTTCTGTACGGGGAACGGGCTGCCGCCAGGGATCAGCGCGGCGACGGACCTCGCGCCGGTCGACTACTTCGACGCGAAGTTCCTGGACGGATGCGGCCCGTCGCTGGCCGAGAAGACGACGGCCGCAGTGCAGTTCGCGGAGGCCCGCGCCGAGAACGGCCAGGCGCGGCCGCTGGTGAGGGCGCAGAGGGCGCTCAATGGGTGGAGGAAGGAGGCGCCGCCGACCAGCCCCCTGCCGCCCCCGCGGGTGCTTGCGGCAGCGATCGCGAACTTCGCCGCCCACGCGGGTCGCCACGACATAATGCTGTACTTATGCGCGTGCTTCGCGTGCTACCTGAGGCCGTCGGAAGGGCTCAGCATTCGAGACAAGGATGCGGTTCCTCCTGTTGCGGTGGCTGGACAGGGCTTCGGCAACTGCACGGTGATAACCAGGGGCTCGGGCGAGAAGATGCCAGACAAGGTCGGGGCGCTCGACAACAGTATCCTCCTCGATCAGATGTACCTGCCGAACTCGGGCATCGCGCTGCAAAGGCGCGCCCGCGGGC